ATGTGACTTACTGAGGTGAAATCAGGCTGATTGTCAGGATGCAGGAGGACAACTACATCATGACCATAACCGCCATCATATCCTGTAGCCAAGTAATGTTGAACCAAGTCGGCTCAACCTTGTTCCCAGATGCGCACTGTGGTGAGTTCGCACGGCGCTTTGGTCACCTTGAAGCACAAAAACAGAATTTGGAGCTGCTTCGCGCCTCGTTGACGTGGAAACTGCACCCGTGCAGCTGCAGTGTGACGGGGCGCTCGGTTTGTTCGCCCCATTCCTGAAGCCGCAGCGCCGTCTACATGCGGCTCGAACCTGGTGCCTGTTTGGTAGCACATATCTGTGAGAAGCTGAACACAGGAGTCGTCTCACAGATGAACACCTGCGGTCCATCCTGACCATCTGCACGACGCACGAGCTCACACCAAACCAACGAACTTGTTGCCAAAGCAGAAGAAAACTCAGTGTTTTCATTTGTTGTTATTTTAACTTCTGCTGAAAAGGACACAAATTGTATTTAGTTGTTCTTTGCAGCACATTCATGTTTCTAACTTCTCTAATTTTGACTGGACCAAAATCTTAAAAAGTTTCAGTTTATTTATTCTGGAAAAATATTCGTCTGTTTTTACTCGTATTTATCTTCAAAAACATTTCATTTTAGTACGTTCAATAAATGTTTATCCTGTTCGTCCCGCGACCCAAAGTGTCTGAATCACATCATTTAAACTCTGAGCTGGTTTTCAGGTGCGAGCGTGACGCCACTCACCATCTTCTCAAAGTTGACGAGTTCACCGTGAAACGTTTTGCAGCTCTCGTGAAGAAACGTCAAGTCTGGCAGGAAAGAACGAGACGAGAGGACACAAACACACAGAAACGAACTGCAGTCAGTGAGACGTGTTTTTAAAGCAACATATTAACAAAGGAGAGAAAAACAAAACAAATAACATAAAACGGAAGATACAAAAATGAAAGAACAAACGACCAAAACAAAGAAACCGGGACAGCGATCGATCACGTGTTAATGTGCAGCGCTGTCGTCACCACAGGGGGGCGCCGAGGGAAAAATATCAGCTGTAATCCCAGGTTCCTGATTTTAACTCTTCACTTCCATCTCTATGGTTCTGTTACCATGGAGACAGAGAGCTAAAGGCAGCACACACACAGGTTCAGACACTTCAAAGAGTCCTCTTCTTCGTTGGTTCTGAGAAAAACTGGAGCGAGGTTCCTCGCTCCAGTTTTTCTGTCTTTCATCTCGTTTAACTTTTTTACTTCTTAAAACA